CAGGGAATGTGTTTACTTTTTTAGTTTTGATTTTGAGCAGCAAATTTGGAGTTACATATTGGTGCTCACCAAATTGCACAAATTTTCACTTGAAAGAATAGTGGCGATCTTGGGATTTTTTTCTGTTCAATTTTCAAACTGTGTAAATTTAATACACTTCATCTTCAGCATGTTTAGTGCCACTTTTGTAAGTAACCACGCCCCGTCCAGGCCACGCCCCCGTCCAGGCCACGCCCCTTCCGCTTTTTTCATCACTCGCCATTGCCATGTATGACAATTTGTGAATGGATTGTTGTTTGAGCTTTTCATAAAAGCTGAGATCATTTCTGAGGAGCCACTCAGCAAAGAGACTGACTCTGACAATGACGCGAGGGAGCCTGGCATGTTTGATAGAGAACTTGCTCAGCTGTTCATTTCTTTTAATACAGCGAGTTGTATGGTTGTGAAAATACAGTATGTCTCTGTACAATAAAGCATATTAATGCGGCACTCGTATCAAATGTCGATGGGCATGTGTCGTGCAATTCACGAGTTCTGATCGCCCGAGTTGCCTCGGTCACCAATGCACGACACAACTGATCACACTTTGGCTGTCTCAGTCAAAAGATAGTCAGACTTCCCCAATTGTGTTTCAGTGTGCTCCCCCCCCGCTCAAGTTGCGGGGGGCAGCCGCTGTAGCAGGGAAGCTCAGACTTCCCTCTCCCCATTCTACTTCTTCCAGCTCTTCCTGGGTCACCCTGAGGCGTTCCCACACGAGTTGGGATATGCCCGGAACACCTCACCAGGGAGGCGTCTATGCGTCTATGAGGCATACTAATCAGATGCCTGAGCCATCTCTTTTGGCTCCTCACGATGTGGAGGAGAAGCGGCTTGACTCTGAGCCCAACCCGAGTGACCGAGCTTCTCACCTTATCTCTAAGGGAGAGCCTGGACACCCTGCGGAGGAAACTTATTTCGGCCACTTGTATCCGGTGAAGTGGAAATATTAAAATTAACTGTGTTAACTTGGATGGTACATTCTGCTATCTGTAAGGGTTGCTATGCAAGCTCGTTGCTATGCAAGTTTGTGGTTTTCCCGTGCTTCAGACATGTAGTTGCAAAACAGGATGAGCTGTGTACAGATATCAAGACAGGGGCACTCTCCCCTTTCTCTTTCTCATGTTACTTTTTGGTCAAATCCGTATGACCAATGACAATGTAGTGTTGTATAACTTAACCATATTGGCAACATGTATCGAGTTTGTTTTACACTTTAACCCCTCTCAAGAAGAAAAAAATGGTGTCAGAGGGGCCACTGCTTGGGGCAGGGGTGGCCAACCAGTCAGGGCCTAAGAGCCAAATTTTTTACTGTGTTACTGCAAAGAGACACACACACGCAGGCACGCACGCATACACACTTTTTTGCCCAAAGATCGACTTCTGGAGCGACCAACCTCCCACGATCGACCCGATTGCGCACGTGCAAGCATATGAACACACACTTTAACACACACACGCACACACACGCACACACACACACACACACACACACACACACACACACACACACACACACAAACACACGACCATGCACTCGCGCACATATGTATGCACGCCACGACGAGCAACAGCCGAACATAAATGAAACCTTAAGACACAAGCACACATCCTCCCCGCCCCCATTTCCTCCTTCTACTTGGGACCAGTCCGCTGGCTCTTGGTCGATTGAGATCGACATATTGGGCACCTCTCCCTTAAAACAGAGGTAATTCGCTGACTAGCTTAGCACTTAGCACTTCACGCCGTTTTCTGCGCATGAGCGGTGATTCAGTCATCTGATTGTTTGCCCTCTATATCAAACAAGTAACGGGATTTCTGATAGGCTGACGTAGTACGTTCTGTGTTTTAAGCGCCGCTGTTTGAATGGCAGCGCTTTCGCCGAGGCGTTTTCGACAATTGTCGTGTGAAAGCCCGGGAGCCGCATTGAACCAGCCAAAGAGCCGCATGCGGCTCGCGAGCCGCGGGTTGGCCACCCCTGGCTTGGGGAGTCGCTCCATCACAGATCTGGACATAAATTCCATCGTTGTAAAAAGACTTGTTCTCTTGGTTTCCCTGGACAAGACACCAGGATCTCGTAATCTCGGTCACGACCCATAGCTCGTGGACCATAGGTGAGGGTAGAAACGTAGATCGACTGGTAAATTGAGAGCTTTGTCTTTTTGCTCAGCTTCTTCTTCACTGCGAGAGAGTGATGCAAAGTCTGCATCACAGCAGATTCTGCACCGATCCACCCATCATTCTCCCGCTACCTCCTGCCCTCACTCGTGAACAAGTAAACTCCTTGTCAGAGTACTCAATTAAACATATAATAAGAGCTTCAATCAGGAGAGAAGACACTTATTCTGGTAACACTCTCCTGAGGAGGACGAAGAGAACTTGACAGTTTCAATTCTCTGCTACGCGCGTGTGTGTGTGTGTGTGTGTGTGTGTGTGTGTGCGTGCGCGTGTGCGTGTGTAATGAAAGCTGGATTTATTTCAATGCATATGATTAAGCTTTCTCAAATGGATTGCCTGATGACTTTGCTCCTAGTATACCAAGCAATAAAAACGGAGTCTGAAATCAATGATCTGGAGACTGCCCACCTGACCAAACGAGCCAAGCATAGCCACAATGAATCGAGGTAGTTACACATGTTGGGGCGTCTGCGTGGGAATATACGTGCATGCTTTCATCATTGCGTTTGGTCTTCATAGTGATGACAGCGGCAGCAGTTCTGAAGACGTACTGGAGAATAGTGTAAGTTACTTTTTCTGCCACAATTCACAGTGAGAAAAGGCATAACAAGAACACAATACAATTATCAATGAAGTCTGCTCAAAAGTATTCTTTGTTGTTGCTTAAGATTAATATTATTCTCCATCCACATCACTAATATCAATAGACTTGGCCAAAATATTCTTCCATAAGAAGCCTCTTTTTCTTTTTTTATTTCAGTCTTTTTACTTTAATGTGGCAAATGAAAACATGCCAGTGGGGAAAAAAAATTGTCAATGGAGAGTAAGTGGATTAATTTACCGTATTTTCACGACCATTCGGCGCACCGTATTGTTGGGCGCAGTCTCAGTAACGGGTGCTATTTCTGTATTTGACACATACACAAAACGCACTGTATTATTGGGCGCAGCCAGGCATGGTAAAACATATGGCAGCTTAAACATACAGCTTGCATGCACGCACGCTAAAAACACGTTAGCTTGAAGCATACGGTAGCATTCATGCACGCTAAAACATACCAGGTATGTTAGCTTAAAGCATACGGCAGCAGCTAAGACGTACGGACACACGCTAAAAACACGTTTTTAAAAAGGCAACGGAAGCAAAACTGAGTTTGATTGTACTTTATTTAGCCATTTTACAATGTACTCACGCGACTGGTACCTGCGAGGGACTTGCCTTTCGCGTCCTCTTACACGCCTACCCTTCACTCATTGGCGATTGGTACCTGCTAGGGGCGTGCCTTTAGCGTCCTCTTACACGCCCACTCTTCGCTCATTGGCGACTGGTACCTGCTAGGGACGTGCTTTTAGCGTCCTCTTACACGCCCACCCTTCACTCATTGGCAGACTTCCGCATGCCTGTCGTCACTCACGCCCGCCTTTTCTCTGTATAAACAGCGTTGTCGGCGATAAGTGCTCTCAGTCAGGCTTTGGAACTCGGCGCATACACTAGACGCTCCGCATTATAAGGCGTCCTGTCCATTTTGGAGAAAATTTAAGACTTTTAATGGCGCCTTATAGTCGTGAAAATACGGTATTTGTATTCTTTGTAGTAGTCTTGTTGTTTTGGCACTTTGTCAATCGGTATCTAAACATGAAACACTTCATCGAAGATACTGGTAACTGGTATCATTTAATATATTTACATTTGTTAGTAAACCCGACTAACACATTCAGTGATGTAGGAGATAAAGTGCCGCGCCCCAAAAATCCTTAAAATTAATAACTGACTGTTTTTACCTTCTGCAGAACACCAGTCACATGAACAGCTCCCTTACGTCTCTATACCGGAAAGGGACATCTGACACCTACTCGACTGTTGGAGATTTGCCCGATGCAAGTAAAGTGTCCACGGGAGGGTGGTTCATTGATCGAGACAAAGGTTCTGCAAAGACCAACATCTTAATTGACCTAAGTGAAGATCAGCCTATTGATGCAGTAAGTGTAAGTGTGAATCTACCCATTTTTACATTTAACTACTACACACACACACACACACACACACACACACACACACACACACACACACACGGAAAAGAAAATGTGCATTTTGGGACTACGCTCCACAAATCAGGTTGAGTTTGTGTCCAGGCGACATGAAATACTTGGAACAGATGAAACAGATGTCCCAGTGGTCATCAGTACTTGGGTGCAGTCCCTCCGTGTCCCTGGCTGACATCCTGATCGTGAAAATGTTTGATTATCCTCTTTTTCTCATACTTGGAGGAAAAACGTAGGGTACTCTTTTGCTTCAGTGATGGCAAAGTTACCCAAACATCAAGATTTGATTTGAAGGTTTGTGTGCTTGATTCAATAATTAAATACAAGTATGTAATCCGCTTTTGTCTCATCCTTCTTCTTCATCCTTTTTTATTCTGTGGGAATTCAAGACAATTGACACTTCCTCATTGATAATAACTTGGCCCCTTTCGACCAAAAAAATGTGCAATTACCCCAAGGTATGCACACAAGCCAAAAAAATCTTCCTGAAAGTGTTGTGTTTTCTGTTATTCGGGCAACAATGTCTTTGCAATGGGGCAGCACATATAGCAAGACAGCGGTGAAACAGGCGGCACTGCCGCTGCATAATAAATGTGATGACGAGGCTAACTGTACTTGAATGTGGCTTCAAGATTTTTATACCGTTTAGCCACATTGGCAAAAAGATTTCATGATCCAGCACCAACCCTCACATGTAAAAAGGGTCTGTTGCTACTGAGTGGACTATCACTCCCATCACCATAAGAAATCCTAACAAATATATTACACAAAATAAAAAAATATATATAAATGCATTATCTGAAATGTCAACACGAACACGACCTGCTCGTGCTGACCAGCTGGCATCTTGCCATGTGAATGTTATCAAGTTTTTGAGTACCGTATTTTCCGCACTATAGGGCGCACCAGAAAGTCTTCAATTTTCTTAAAAGCTCACCGAGCACCTTAAAATCCGGTGCGTCTTTTGTATGGTCATTACAGTAATACATCGACTCCAAGCTGGCTCCTTCCTGGAGACATGCTTCCAATGTTATAACTTGCTGTTGGTTCAGTGAACTGTGTCGCTGCTTTATTAAATAAGTTTTTGTTGCAGCTCCGAAAAAAGGAGAGCTGTGGTGTTCATTTTTTAAAACAGTCTCAACAAATACAGGTACGTCTTTGTCTGTCTACGTGCCTTCTTCCGTTCGACTCGAGAGGCGTTCAAGACCGCCTCCGAAAAACGTAAACTAATGATTACTTCAATGAAACTATGAAAATTGAAAATACAGTCAAACCTTGGTTTTCGTCCATAATCCGCTCCAGAAGGCTGTTCGAAAACCGAATTGTTCGAAAACCGAAACCACGCTCTTTTTAAAATAAAAATGTTTATTGAACATGTCTGCTCACAATGGAAAGCAACAC